CAGAGGCTCCTTACACTATCTTCATTTTTTCAAGCTTATTTTTGCTATTCTGACTGGATTTTTTTGCTTCCTTATATTCTAAATTGCTGATTTGATTCTCAGTTTCATCTACTCTACTGTTGATATACTAAAATATTCACTTCTGTTAATGCATCCTTCATTTCTGACTGGTTCTTTTTATGGTTTCCATGTCCTCTTTTATTCTGTTGAAGTTTTCACTAAGTGCATTGAACATCTTCATAGCCAGTGTTTTGAACTCTGCATCTAGCAGACTTCTTATCTCCATTTTGTTTAGTTCTCTTTTTCTGGAAGTTTTGTTCAGTTCTTTCATTTGGGACGTTTGTCTCCTCATTTTGGCAGCCTCTTTGTGTTTGTTTATATGTATTAGGTGGAACTGCTGCATCTCTCAGGCTTGGTAGAATGTCCTAATGTAGTAGATGTCCTGTAGGGTTGAGAGGCATAGCCTCCCACATCACCTATGCTGGGAAATCCTGTTGTAATTGATCCTTGATTGCTGTTGGTACATCAGTGGGAGGGATTACCCCCATTGGCTGCAAGGACTGACTGTAACCACCTACTACTGTGCAATATCAGCTGGGCGGGGGCCCACCCACATAGCAGGTCTTACTTCAGTGCACCTCTGGTGCTCGCTGAGTCTGCCCCTTGAGTGAGTTACTGGTTGAGTGGTGCTTCAACATAGTCTAAGCTGCCCCCCAAGTGTGTTGCCTCTGGGGGTCTCCCAGAAGGTGCAAGCCAAGGTCAGTCACCACTTGTGTCCTGCCTGGGACCTGCTGGCTTAAGCTACAAAGCAATCTTGAGATGGCTGCTATTTGTGCTGGGTTTAAGGGTACCCAGGAGAGGCCAAGCTGTGAAGGTTGGCTAGTGCCAGGCCTGGGACACTTAGCAAGAGGTACAGGTCATGCTGATTCCAGATGCTGGAGTTTTAGAGATTTGTTTATTTGTTTGTTTGTTTTAGAGATTTGTTTGTTTGTTTTAGAGATTTGTTTGTTTGTTTTAGAGATTTTAGGAAAGTCTGAAGCATTAGCCAAGATAGGCCATTCTTATGGAAAAGCCACTAGAAATCAAGTTTGGGTGGGCCCACGAGATTGGTGGGGCAGGGTCTCAGGGAATCACCAAGGTAAGGTGATCGATGATAATCAGGTTGATGGAGATTCAGATATTTCTCCCACCTGCCAGCTCTATGCTGGGAGAGCTAATTAAAATAATAATGACCTCTGTCAGTACTTTTGTTTGGGGGAAAGGTGCCCCCATCTCTTTACCTGATGCCAGGCAATTCAGTTCCTCCCCATATATCTCTGGTGCCTTTCCAGCTGCTATCCTAGAGCTGGAGCTCAGAGGAAGGGAGTCAGAGTAAGTCTGTGCACAAGCCTTTTGAGAGGAACTGTGTGGGACTCCAACAGATCTCCATTTCACTCAGCCTCAATCCCTGCTGGGTTTTATAGCCAAGAAGTTATGGAGATTTCTCTTCTTGGCACTGGAACCGTGGGCTTAGGGGACTGGTGTGGGGCTGGGACCCCTTGCTCTTAGGGGGAACCTTTGCAGCAGAGATATCCCTCCCAATTTTTATCTGCCACATGTGGGTGTGGGACCAGCCTGTTCCTTGTCTCTGTCCCTCCTTCCAATCTTGATGTGGCTTCATCTTTAAATCCCCTTTGTATGACTTCTATTCATGTAGATTTCAGGTGTTACTGAATGATGTCTGTAGTTTAGTTGTAATTTTGATGTGGTTGTGGGAGGATTTGAGCACTTTATTTACCTCTGCCACCATCCTGACTGGAAGTCCCATTATTCTTGATATACTTATTATGGCAATGATATTTTTGTGTCATCAATTAAATTGTGAGCAACTTAAGGCAGTCTTTTTTTTTTTTTTCTTCTCATTGTTGTATTTCCAGAGCCTTTCAAAGTATCTATTTCCCAGTAGGCATTCAATTAAATATTTATAGAATGAATGAATGGAAGAATGCATAAACAACTTATAAATTGATGTGGAGTACTCTTTAGAAATGTGTGCAGGGCTGAAACTGGTTTGGCTCAGTGGATAGAGCATCAGCCTGTGGAATGAAAGGTCCGGGGTTCGATTCCAGTCAAGGGCATGTACCTTGGTTGCTGGCACATCCCAATGGAGGGTGTGCAAGAGGCAGCTGATCAATGATTCTCTCTCATCGATGTTTCTAGCTCTCTATCCCTCTCTCTTCCTCTCTGTAAAAAATCAATTAAAAATATATTTTTTTAAAAAAAAGAAAAAAGAAAAGAAATGTGTGCAGGAACCTGTATTACTTTATTGCACATGAGCCTAAAAGCTTCGAAATGAAAACATTTCATCCCTTTATTTTATTCTTTCCTTTATTTATTTATTTTAAATTATCTTTATTGTTGAAAGTATTACAGATGTTCCCTTTGTTTATGTGTGTGTTGTTGTTTTTTTCCCATTGACCCCCTCCACCCTGTACCTGCTCCTCCCAGGCCTTCACCACTCTATTGTCTCTGTTCATGGATTATGCATATATGCATATAGGTTCCCTTGTTAATCACTCTCCTCACAACCCTTTACCCCTGCTTTCCCTCTGAAATTTGTCAATTTGTTCCATGTCATTCTCTTATTTTAAAACTTTTCAACATATCCTTATTTTTCTCTATAATAAAGTATGTTGAACACAGTTCAATAAATATTTGCTGAATTAATGATACCTTTAAAAAATATACAGGTTCTTTATAATCTAAAGCATATTATTTTTTCCAGACACTTTGTGCACTCCTATTTTATCCTGTAATAATGAGTAACAATATATAATTTTCATTCAAGAATTAAATATTAGGAGCTGGGCATATTGGTCCACTGTTTCAAATAACCTTATTCCTTTTCATGATAGTCCCTCTTTTTTGGAATTTATTAAACTATTCATCAAATATCATATTTATTGTGGTTTTATACTCTCCTTCCTTTCCCTAGAAGGCTGCCCCTGACCTCTTTTTTGTGCTTGCCTCCATTTTATTTTAGCCCTGGTCATATCAAAGTGGTTATCTCTGTTTGTCATCCATCTATTTTCTCACCCCTATTCCATAATACCCATATATGCCCTCAGAGGGCAGAAGTTGAGGTTTTGTTCACCTATGTGTCCCCAGGGCTCAGCACAAAGTTTAGAACAGGACCAAACCCTATATATAAGTACTGAAATGAATAATATTTACTCTTTATTGAGTAACATGGATTGTCACCTTGAATTCTAATAATAATAGGTGAGTTATGAATTATCTTCATTTTATAGATGAGAAAACTAGGCTTGAAAATGTTTGGAAAGTTGCTCAAGGTCAAATGGTAGAGTCTGTTGTCAATGGAATAGGGTAAAGCCATCATTGATTCTAAATGAGTAAGGTTCCTCCCCACCATCTTTTTTTTTTTTTTAAACAAAACATATTTTGTTAATTTTTTACAGAGAGGAAGGGAGAAGAAACACTGATCAGCTGCCTCCTGCACACTCCGCACTGAGGATGTGCCCACAACCCAGGTACATGCCCTTGACCGAAATCAAACCTGGGACTCCTCAGTACTATGCTCAATCAACTGAGCCAAATCTGTTAGGTCCCACCATCTTTTCCTGAAATTTCCTTTAAGGCTTTGCAATTTCTCCTTCTTGAGAGCAATCATCTACCTTAATATTATGAGTGCTGGAAATAACTTTTTTTTTTTTTTCCATATTGGAAATTGTTTGACCTCTCTCTGGAAGCAACGTGATTTTAAACTTGTTTAAATCACACTTTCTGGGGGCAGAACCTGCCTTGGAGTCCTGGGAAACATGATAGGCCAATTGAGATGGAATTAGTGGCTGAGAAAGTTTTTCTCTGGGCACCATACACAATGAAGACTTTCTCAGGGGAGAACGGCCTCTCACCTTGGGCACACATACTGCAGGACCTGTGAAAATCGGGTTGCTGACATCCAAGGCGGCTGAGGGGACATTGTTCCGCCCACAGATAAGGTGGCTATTAATAACAGTTACTCTGGCGGGCCTGCTCTCTTTGCTCCTTACTGCAGTGCCACACCAGTATTTTCAATGAGGGCTATAGTGAATAAACTTTGGTTAAAGTTGGTTGCCAGAATCGGTTTGGCTCAGTGGATAGAGCATTAGCCTGTGGACTGAAAGGTCCCAGGTTTGATCCTGGTCAGGGGCATGTACATCGGGGTGTGTGTGTATGTGTGTGTGTGTGTGTGTGTGTAGGAGGTAGCTGGTCCATGTCTTGGATTTTCTGTCCCTCTCCCTTCCTCTCTGTTAAAAAAAAAAAAAAATCAATAAAATATATTTTTTAAAAAATTTGGTGCCTAAACCGGTTTGGCTCAGTGGATAGAGCGTCAGCCTGCGGACTGAAGGGTCCCGGGTTCAATTCCAGTCAAGGGCATGTACCTTGGTTGTGGGCACATCCCCAGTGGGGTGGTGTGCAAGAGGCAGCTGATTGATGATTCTCTCTCATCGATGTTTCTAACTCTCTATCCCTCTCTCTATTCCTCTCTGTAAAAAAAAAAAAAAAAATCAATAAAATATAGTTTTAAAAAATTTTTTGGTTAAAATTGGTGCCTTCTCAACCAAGATGGTAAAGTAGGAAGTTGGCACGTTTTGCTTATAAAACCCTGCAATGGGTCAAATTCTTTCTTGCCCTTAACCAACATGGTCGTAGAGCAAAGAAAGTCCCATCACTTGAAACTTCCGGCCCTTAACTAAGATGGCGCCTGGAGGTTGGTTGGTTAAACATGAGCTTTGCCCTCTTTCCTGCCCGCGACCAGCATGGCGCCCGCGGCGTCGGTCACGTGACGCGCGGACTACGGCGCGCCGGAGGGGTAGGAGGGCCCTTGAAGGGTGCGCGTTCCCGCGGCGGTGCACCGGGTAGGTTTCAGTCAGAGTCACTATGGCGGCCGGCGCTGGCAAGGTAAGCTGAGGTGGCGGCGGGGCCGGGGCAGCGGGACCTGTCGCGGCGTCCGGCCTTCACATCGCCGCCGCCCGCCCGCAGAGAGGTCTGCGAGTTCGGGGCAGGGGTGCGGGCTGGGCGGGGGGCAGGTTTGAGGCGGGCGAGCGCCGGGGCGGGCGGGCACCGGCGCTTGACGGCCGTTTGTTGTGGTGTTTCCCTCCCAGGACGGAAAGTTTCCTGCCTCGCCGGGCGCAGCCTGAGCGTGTGTCCCCCGCCCCGAGTGGCGGAGGCTGCGGCGGACCCAGCCCGGGGCCTCCAGGCCTGTCCCCCGGCCGCGGGGCCAGCCTCCCTCCCCCATCGCCTCGTCCGCCGGGAGCTGCGGCTGCTGCCGTCCCTGAGATGAGACCCTCGCGGGGGCGACCCTGAGAAGAGGCGGCCGGTGCGCTGCCCCGGAGCCCGGAGTCCAGGGACCAACTTCCTGCGGGCGGAGACTCCCCCCCGAACCTCCGCGGGGTCGTGCCTAGCTCGGTCCGCATCCCCGCCCTGGTCGCGGGGACGCCCGCCAGGTGCCCGGGAGTCCTCCACTCGGCCGCCGCCCGCGCCTCCGCCGCGAGTCCCCCCGTTCCTCGTGCCGAGGACCCGGGCCACCAGCCGTCGCGGCTTGTGCGGTCCGGGGACCCCGTGTCATCTCCCGGCGGCCTCCGCGCATCGGGGGCCGATGCAGACCGTCCCGCCGGCGGTCTAGACCCTCTCGGACCCCTCCCGCCCTTCCACGGCCGAGGCCCTCTCCAGGACGGGTGGTGGCCGCCCAGCGGAGCCCGGCCGCACCGCTCTTCGCCCCGAAGGGACCTTGCTGGTCGCAGCGAACCGACCCTTCCTTCATGCTGCATTGCCGCAACATTTCCGCCACCGAGGGGGGAGAGCGGCCGCGATCCCAAACCAAACGCAAGAATTGGCGTGTGACTCATCTGCCTGGACACCTCCAGTCCCCAAACTGTCTTCCAGGAGTTTTCTTGGCCGACGCTGTCCGATGTGTGAGCCTTTCCTTCCCAAGGAAGAAGATGGATTGAGAGCTGCCAGTTGGGGACTTTTTGTCATCAGGGCGGTGCTGGGTTTGAGAGGAGGTGATGGGGCTGGCGCTGGCTCGTCTTCTCACTCCAGTGAAGAGTTGCTGATGTCCACTGGTTATGCTCAGACCATGCGCAGTTTGTTTTAATACAGAATTTTGGGGAGGATAGGGCTATAGGCTTGTGAAGAAGGGCAGTCCGGATCCGGTGGAACTCCTTTGTCCTGCGGTAGGAGGGACACCCCAGTCTGTCCTCGATGCCGTCAGCCTTGGCCATCTTCACTTGCCGCCCGAACTCGCACCCGTTTCAGGAGCGTCATGTCTACCTGGACGAGCCCATTAAAATCGGCCGCTCCGTGGCCCGCTGTCGACCCGCGCAGAATAATGCTACCTTTGATTGCAAAGTGCTGTCAAGGAATCATGCTCTGGTCTGGTTTGATCACAAGACGGGCAAGGTAATGTCACAACATTGTTTAACAGTCATTACTTTTTTTTGTTTCCCTTTACTCTTTCTGTATAATGCATGCGGGATCCCAGGGTTTGCATCCAGAGGAGACTTTTCAGCAAGACCACGGAATCAACTTTTTGTGTGTCTGGTTCTAGTGGAAATTTAATTGAGGTGGTTGAATGGAAAACAGAGAAGGTATTGTAATTAAATGCCTTGGGAGGGCGATGGCATCTTGATAATGTGGTCATTCCCAGTGAAATCCCAAACCCTAGTTTGGTTCGGAAAACTAGATAGTGAAACTTGTCATTTTGTTTTCAGTCTTTTTAGAAAGGTGAATTTGCAGTTGAGAGCTTGATTAAGCAAGCAACAGTTCCCAAAGCAATGCAAGGGAATCCATGACCATTATTACAGTGGGGCTCAATTGTCTCATTGGTGAGATGCAGTTAATGTGGCTTTTAGTTGAGTTTAGATCAGGGCCTGTCTAGTAAAGACATTCATTGGTGTAAAGTTAGATTTTGAAAGATTTGCTATGTATACCGTGAGAAATTTGCAGTTATCAAAGCCAGTTTAATTAGGCATGAACAACTAACTGCATTTTCAGAGTTTCTTTTGCAAGTTGCATGAACCTATATACCTATTGTTTTTGGAAGTTACTTTTTGATGTTGCCTGCAGCACTTATTAAAAATATTTTATGCATACTTACAGAAGCTATATTTAAAGGTCAGTGTTAGGAAATTATTTTTTGAAATTATGTTCAATTCTAGATGCAATAGGACTATTGCAAGTGTGAGCATTTTATCATTTTTATGTTAGCGCCCTAATACTATACATGTGAGTACTATATTTTAAGAATTCGAGGAGAAAAATAAAGACCTTTTCAATTTTTAAAACTGTTTATGTAAAGAATGTACTGAAGAGCTCATCTTTGTGCTTAAACCTTAGATTTTAGTTCAGCTACAGAATCAGTTCCAACTTAGAGCAAGTTATGTAAGACTAATAATAATATCTCAGGTTTCACCTCTTGACTTTTGCTCCCTCTTTTTGACTTAAATGATTAAGTCTTTTTTTAAAAGAATTTAAATCTTCAATTTAAATTGTAGTGTTTTGAGATAAAAGAAATCCGAGTTTCAAAAGGAAGAAAGTAATACTCTGTTGCTACTGAATTAAGGAATTATTATATAAATAATTTTTCAGAGAAAGGAAGAAAAAAATTGCCCAAGTGCTGTGTGCTTGCATAATACCTTTATTCTAATCTTTGTGTAGGATGAGAACTGAAAAGTTTATTAATTTTTCTGTGACACCAGGTATTTTACCTGTAGAACAGACATATTTTTCATCCCTGGAAACTAAACTTTGGGTGCCTGAAAGATTTCACAGATTATTTAAAGTGAATATTCATAGAACTCATCCTTCCATTAATCAGATTCAAACATCAGTTAATTGGTTGGGCCTTAACTCAATCAGCTTTTACATTTTTTGCTTTTTTATGTATGTCCCTGGGCAACAGTTATAGCCCAATTTAAACAGATTACAGGTGTGCTTAAAATACATACTCTAAAAATGCACATTCTTTACTTTGACCCAATATTCTAAGGAGACTCAGATTATTTTGTTTTACTTATTTGAAAACCAGTGATTGCATGAACAGTGCTTTTCCTGCCTAGGTTATTTTGAGATGACTAAGAATAGGTCAGTAGTGAGTGTTTACTGTGTAAATTGCGATGACATGTTAAAATTTTAAGTGGAATTTGTTATTAGAAAAGCTTATCCTTAAAGGATACACAACTAATTTCTGCCATTTTTCCTTTTTATTGCTGCTTTATTAACCAACACTCAGAATATTACTTTAGGTGTAGATACAATTATTGGCTATTGTACCATCTAAACTAGTTAAAGCAACCTGTCAAATTTTGCCATGTGACCAAATTACTTTAGGAATTAACTATTTAAATTTAAATTTGGACAGACTGATTTTTATTGAGCATCTGTTATATACCAGATATTATGAGGTACACGGTTCTAAAGAAAATCCACAGTTTGACCAAATATCATTTATTGTTTTCTCTGTGAAATTTCTAGTTTGAGGATTTCTGCTATAATTGTCTCATATCAAAAGTCCCTGGGCCATTCCCAGAAAACTGTTTTGTACAATACAAGAATTCCCTCCTCAGGCAACCCCCCTCCACCCCCGCAACATCTCTAAGCCTCAGTTTTCTCTTCTGGGGATAATAGTGGTACCTTACTTTTGTTTGAGGATTGGGATAATCTTGTAAATCACTTAGCACTCTTTTTCTGGGCATTATTAAAGGCTATGTACTTAGGGAGGAGGGTGTTTGGGGGTGGAGAGAGGGACCATCTAGGTAGCTCTTTGCACATGAAAGTTTCTTTCATGTGATGGCATATGTAGAGGTAATTTTTTTTAAAAAAAATTATTGATTGATTTTAGAGAGAGAAACATCCACTTGTTGTTCCGTTTATTTATACATTCATTGATTGCTTCTTGTATGTGCCCTGCCCTGCAACTTGGTGTATCAGGTAGATGCTCTAACCAACTGAGCTATTGGCCAGGCTGTAGAGGTTGAAATTGAAACATACAAAGTTGAGAACTCTGTCCAAACTGGCATTTTACCTGAGAGGGGTAATATGCCCTTTGGTTTATTTATTTTATTTTTTGTTAATCCTCACCTGAGGGTATTTTTCCCACTGATTTTTAGAAAGAGTGGAAAGGAGGACTGGCAGGAAGGGAGGAAAGAGAGGAAAAAAAAAAACATCAATGTGAGAGACATCGATTGGTTGCCTCCCACACTCACCCTGACTGGGGCTGGGGATCCAACCTGCAACCCAGGTACGTGCCCTTGACTGGGAATCAAATCCATCGGCCCTCCTGGGCATGGGCCAATGCTGTAACCACTGAGAAACATAGGCCACAACTGTTTTTGGTTTATTTTTTAAAAAAATATATTTTTATTGATTTCAGACAGGGAGGGAGAGATAGAAACATCAGTGATGAGAGAAAATTATTGATTGGCTGCCTCCTGCACGCCCCTTACTAGGGATAGAGTCCACAATGCAGGCATGTGCCCTTGGCTGGAATCAAACTTGGGACCTGTCAGACTACAGACTGATGCTCTAACCATAGAGCCAAACCAGCTAGGGCTTTTTGCTTTATTTTTAATTGGGTTGTGTTCTGCATGGACCATTATGAGAGGTCCCTTAAAATCTGGAAGAAATTCTGAACATTTGAAACTTTCTGATTATTCAAGTAATACCTGTTCATTATAGAAAATTTGCAAAATGTGGGCACGTGAAAATGTAGGTCACACTTTTTAATGCTAAGTTCGTGGAATGTGTTTATGGTACTTAAAACCTGCATGTTGAAGAGTGACAAGTTTGCCACAAAGTAGACTTTAACAGGCTTTCTCAAATCACATACTTAGGGATGTAACAGTTGGATATTGCCCTTTTTGAATGCTGGTTCAATGTATCATCATTTTGGAGGTCAAGCTTTTCAGGTTAGATGGTAGATAATAGAATGATTAGTAATCTGTCTGTTGACTCAAGGTATCACTGAAAAACGAATCTATCCATATGGTGGTTACATAGAAAGGAGAGTGAGTGGACTACCTCTTTTCTGATTTGGATGGCCTCATCTCATTTGAGGCTTTGTGGAAAGGAGAAGTCCAGTGGTCTAAACAGTATGCAGTCTATTTCCACTCTCTCTGTAGTAGTATTAGTTGTTTACTTCCAGTTTCACTTTTTTACTTAAATTCAACAGTTACTATTGAGCATCTGTTCTAATATGATCTGTTTTGGCAATAACTGGTAAGAAATTGTTATTTCTTCTTTCTAGAAGATTATATTTTAGAGAGGGTGACTATACACATTGAGAACAGTTGACTGAGATAAGATAGTATTATATAAATTAAAATGGTAAGAGCATGATAGTGTTTGAATTGACTTTAAAATGAGGGATGACCCGACCAGTGTGGCTCAGTGGTTGAGTATTAACATATGAACCAGGAAGTCACAGTTCAATTCCCAGTCAGGGCACATGCCAGATTGCAGGCTTGATCCCCAGTGTGGAGTGTGCATGAGGCAGCCGATCAATCATTCTCTCTCATCATCGATTTTCTGTCTCCCTCTCCCTTCCTCTCTGATATCAAAATTATATTTTTTAAAACAAGGGAAGGATAGATAGAAGTTACGAAAAAGTGCTTTCTGGTTGTTTTTTGGGGGGTGGGGATGAGAGTGAAATAAAACAGACAAAAGCAGATCATTTTTAATGACTGACATCTTCCAAATACTGCAGAAATGAATTTTGTTGGATTGTAGAGTTCTTTTGGAGAGCAGCTATGGTGAACACCCATTCTTTGTGATGGTTTTATGTTTGTGCCTTGTTTTTGTAATTACGAGTTAGGGCTTGGAGGAAAGGGTTTCTGCCTTATATGTCTGTTTCCTTTTATTTTGTATAAAGTAGATGTTGGGTAACTGGAGCTGAGTAGATAGTGTGGTGCCAGGTTGTAGAGTGCCTTGATTACCAAACTAAGGACATGGACCCACAGGCTCTGGAAAGCCAGGGTGAGTTCTGTGCAGACTAATGACATACCAAAAGTCCCATTTAAGAGTGATACAATAATATGTAGAGAGGTCTGGAGCAAGGAAAAATGAGTAACAGGTCAACTAACATTTGTGGTGTATGTACCATGCCTCTTCTAAGTGCTTTAAATGTTAATTTATTTAATTCTTAAATAGCTGCTCAAGATAGTTGTTTATTTTTCCCTATGAAGAAATTAAAGCACAGAAAGATTAGATTAGGTTTACTTGCCCCAAGTTCACATAGCTATTAAATGATAGAGCTAGGATTTGAACTGAGGTATTCTGACTCTTGATTCTAATGTCTAGAACCTAAGCTCTTAACTACTCTGCTATTCTGAGGATTTGTAACAGTTTAGATATAATGTCATTTTGTAAGGATATAGACCAGAATCACAATAGGAATGAAAATA